GCTGGTTCTGAACTAGCCTCGTTTTTCATGCCCCATCGCGCTTTGTAGCGCTCTGCGAGCGATCGACGAGAGGCCCGCAAGCACAACGTTGTTTCACGTGATCATGCTAACATCACCATCAGCGCCCGCATACAATCCAATGGCGCCTCATGCCGGGCCGGTCGCCGCGCCGCCGGGGACCCAGGGGCGGGGGAGGCGTGGGATAAGGGGTGGGGCGGCCGACCCAATATTGAATGGCTGCATAGCATGCGTTATAGGTCAGATCTTTCCGCACCTCAATTATACAGAAGATAAAGTCGTCTACACCTGCGCTGGCGCCGCTACATATAAAGTCATTTTGCTTTACGACCTAAAAACGCATGAGTGCTGTTGGATTGCGAGATCTGCCAAAGGTCGTTTTTTACAGGCGGACATTTTCTATATCTTAACAAGATAACCTATATCAAGTGTCTGGAATCATACTAGCTGTTAGGTCAACTGGCACTAGTGGCTTACACGTCGCTCACATCTTCGTCACCTCGCAACGGCGTAACGTCTCAAGCACTACCTATCTGCGAGCTGACAACGCACCACCATCGCTCAGCCGGGACGACTAGAAGGAAGCGAACTTGCAAAACCACATAGTACAGAGTCTGGTACTATTAAACCTACATGTTTACTGAGTCACAAAAGGACGTTAGCAGAAGGCAAATAAATAAAATTACTACATCCTCACCGTATTAACGTGATCTTGGGACAATTTTGTGTACGTTGTGACACTGGAAACTCGATTTTTGGATGACTGCTGGGCCAATGTTATTATGCCCAAGTGACATTGTGAATTCTAGTCGATCCTTGTAATATTTGTATCATATGGTAAATCATCTGGTGTAGTGTTATTATACAGGACTAGGCAGGTTGACTGGTATATACTCCAATGTTAAATCACCAACATGGACAAACTAGCGTTATTATCACCAAAATTAGTGCATTCACATTTTCGGTGGAGTAACTTGCAGTGTATTCTCACGATGCTGAAAGTCACTTGGTCGGTGAATATTCATCACATGGTGCCTGAGGAGCCTGGTGTAGTAGAGGCACTGAAGTTGAACAGCCATCCCCACACGTTAGTGAGAATGGTCGGGAAGGCACCACATTTCCACCATTGTTACGGGCTCCAGAATAACATTTGTCCAACTTTTCCAAGTGTGTAAGTTCCTTATGCATAAAATTTCCTCTTCTTGGTATTTTATTCTTGTCTAATCGCACTAAAATAATGGGGTTAATATGGCTAGATATTTCATTTCCACCATTGTTTGAAGTACAATTCCAGATATAGTCCATTCCACCATCTATTAACAACACATGAGTGGGTTCTATGCTTCAGTGGGAGCACACTCCCAGTATTCAAATTATTCATGAATTCATGAACAAAATGAATGAATGATAATGACAATGAATGAAAAATGTGAAAAATGAAAAAAAAATGAAATGATGAAAAAAATGAAAATGAAACATGAACATGAAAATGCAAAAAATGAAAAAAAAAAAAAATTAAACAAAATTAAACGTAAAATTCATGAAAAACCAACGTTTAGTCCTGATATGATTACTAGCGTACTTGCCTGGGTGCGACCCTTACCGCACTTGGCGCAGCAGAGGTAACTTGCATGAAGTTCGCAGCGTTCATTGCTGCCTCTACTACTAAAATTCACACAGTACGTTGTAGTTAGTTAGTCATAGTGTATCACTATAGTTCAGCAGACTCTGATGGTCTGTCCAGTCACAGTGATGGCATCTTCATCTCTCAGAATCCTCAGAGCCGCCTCAAACTGAGCCTGACTCACCGGCTGCAGTGAGGGAGAGGGGGAATTATTTGAAGTCACAAAACAGTTACTGTCTAGGCCTACTACTGGCACCATTGACTGAGTTATTCATGAGTCATACTGAGATTTGCTGTATTGATGAGACTAGTGATAACTGCTAGTGAATTGCGTAATGTTCCTCATAGCGTCACCACTTGAGACTGTGCCTGCATCATCTCCAGGACAGCCTGTGTCTTGAGCTGAGCTCCAGACTTGGCCTTGGACTGCAGCAGTTTCAGGAGCTCTTTGGCCAGCAGCTGGCGTCGACTGCGCTCCGAGCTGCTTACTCCCGTCGTCAGGATACCCACGTCTATGATACCTGTCTTTGGGTCTGTGGCCGCCTGCTTGAGAGCCTCTCTGTGGAGTCTGACAGAGAAGAGTCCCAGTTACAGTGCCTGACACACCAAACACACTCCCAAAGTGTTCAGTTTGTCAATCAGTTGACACCGTCCCACAGTTATCATAAATAGGGGCTAGCTTACGGTAAGCTATGTATGTGGAAACTGAGTAGGCATAGTTGTAGATCATAACAAACCTAACCTCTTTGCTTCCTCAACATCCACTATCTCCACAGTACCTGAAAACCTAACCAACCAGAGAGAACATCAATCCATATGATGTAACACTGTGTACCAGACCTCATCTTGGCATGGGCCTCTGCCAAACGAATGAGAGATTCCAGCTGCCTGGGGTAGGCTGTCACTGCCCCTCGACTGCTCCCTATCTTCCTCATGTCTGCAGCAGACAGACAGACACATAGAGAGCTGAATGATAGACATTATGTACTCAGCACTCCAACACTTGTACATTGATTTCTTCGGCAATGAGCATTGAGAAATGAACAGGTATGAGTCTATTGAGGCCATAATCATAGTTTGTGTCGTTGTAATCCCCAATCCCACAATGCATGGCACAGTGGATTAGGGTATTGTAGTCACTAACCGACATAAGCCTGGATCAGAGCCTGGCCTGCCTCCTCTGACAGAGATGGCTGGATGTATGATCTGGCATAGGCAATGTAGTCCCTCAGGGATGACATGTCCTGTACCATGTCAGATAGAAACATTCCTGAAATCAATCCCTAGGTTACTCTTATACATACATACATACCTAAGGACATGCTGATTCAACCACCACTCATCATCCCCCACAGAAGGCAGGTCACAAATCACTAACAAGTGTTTGTATAACAACAGATACACTCTGTGTCTATTGACACTATCATAATACCAGGGAGTGTGCATGGGCTACAAGGGTTACAGAAGCACTATTACTCCAAGCAATAATGGGAGAGATGCCACGTAATTGGATAAGGCCTGGGTTCCGAGGCTAAGAGATCCACTGCACTAATTATCACTAACCATAAACACATTCTCCTCGTCCTCCTTGCTCTGGTGGTAGAGAGACACCAGGTGAGTCGCCAGTCGTCTGTCAAACTGCTCGTCCTGTGGGTCCAACATGAGGAAGATGAGGTCGAACCGACTGAGGAGGGTGTGGGGCAGCTGGATGTTCTCCACCACAGTCGATCGCTCATCCCACTGAGACATGCGGGGGTTGGCGGCGGCCAGGATGGAGGTCCTTGGCGTTGAGGGTACAGATGATTCCAGCCTTGGCTATGGAGATGGTTTGCTGCTCCTGCAGTTATAAGGAGGGTAGACTTTCCGTAAAGGACCAGATGAAAATATAAAATGCTAATGAACTTCTTGTGTATTGTGCATTTTCATAATTTTTGCGCAATGTTAATCAATATATTGTCACCAAGGGGCAATAATCACCCACATGAAGTGTATAAGGGTGATTGATCAACGTAAAAGTGATGATGGAGGTGGTCACTGCTCAGTCATTACGGATGAAATATACGAGAGGTGTCAATAATACATTTCAGATAGAGCACATCGTCCTTCACATAACTGGAATCATATAGTACGTTTAGCTTGGAGAACTGGGGGCAACCTGAGGCAACGTTCATGTCACTAGTTGGTCTCTTGAACGAAGAGCTCTCGGCTGTCGGTTTGAATGTCTGCACGACGTGTTTCCGCTGATCCTGGTCCACAAGGATGAGTGAAACCTTGTACTCGAATGGCCACTTTAGAAGGGGATCGAATTCTCCTCTCATTAACACAAAGAATACAGAGAAATGAGTTTTATATCCACTTCCATCGCCATTGAGATATGCTCTTATACACATCTTGTAGCCATTCCTGCCACTGTAGAACGGTGGGCTGTAAATGGAAGTGATTCTCTCGTCGATGGCATCTCTCCGTCTCCTAGCGACCTCGGGTATTCTCCATAGGAACGATCCGTTGTGGGTTGAGGCAAGTGATGCTTGCAGTTGTAACTCCAACTCTGACATGTTTACCTTGAGGGTGCTGGTTTCTCTCTCTTGTTGCTCCGTTCTCTGCTCCAACATCATCAGTTTCGATCTCACGTGTCCTTCCCCTCCTCCCTCCCACTATTTTTTGTACTCCTCATTCAAATATTAATATGCCATACTAAATTCAATGGCTTTTATATAGTTGCACTAGGATGCATTTTGCAGAGCTTTTGTAACTTTAACACCATTTCCCCCAGTTCTATGCAGACTTTGTCTAAAATTCAGATTTGTGTGCCACAAGCCTAATGCAGGAATTGTGCTCCATGCTCAAAACGATGCTGGCCTAATTCTAACCCCTAGCCCATGGCCTCTTCTCTCACACTGGGATTGGTATACTTTCAGCCACCCTGAATTTTGGTACAATGCTGAGGCCATACAGTTGTACACATTGTTGCATCACATGGACTGGGACATAGACACCTTTTACTGCCAATAACTCCCAATTATGGTGTAGCTACTGCAGGTATTATAGCGTTCAAGCAGTGACAAAAACCCAACTAATGATATTGCAAGAGGCTGTTAATCCCCAATGTACCATGACTTCATGAAGAATGGCTCTGGTGCTGTCATTCATCTTGTCAAACTCATCGATAGAGCAGATCCCTTTGTCACTCAGTACCAGTGCACCACTGGAAAGAGACACAATAAAGATTTAGTAACACTCTGGAACAAGAAGAAGAAGAAGAAGAGAGAGGGGCTAACGTCTGCAGGACCAGCTGCCTTGTCTCAGGGTCTCTAGTGACGTAGGCTGTCAGACCAACTGCACTGGAGCCTTTCCCTGAGGTATACTGGCCTCGTGGCATCAGATTATGAACATACTGCCAAGAGATTAGGATTAGCTGAGTCAACATTTGGACATCTATTACGTAATGTGCATGATATTATCATAAAATCATACTTGACTCATAAAACAGAGCCCTACCAAAACATCCAGGAGGACCATTAGCTGAGTCAACATTTGGACATTCATGCATGACATCAATACCCTCACTATAAAGTCATTCAGACTATAAATACGGTCCACATAAGAAACTGGGAAACTGTGAAGCTCGCATTCCTCACCCAATTGCTCATTTCAGTCTACAGTACGTGGAAGTATGTGGAAGCTAGGGAGATGGGATACTACTACTAAGAGCTCAGCAAGTGTGCTCTAACTCACAGACAGTTGCAATACTGAACATGCAGTCCTCTCTATCTGACAGGTAGTTCACTACTAGACCTGTAGTAGTTGTGATTTGCTGGTGCCCGGGTCTCCACAGAGGAGGATGTTGACGTCGGCTCTGAATCTCCCGTGACCAGTGTTCTGGAAGTCCTTCCTCGAACCTCCAAACATCTGGAGGAGAATCCCTTTCTTGATGTCGTCATTCTCGTAAATACTGGGGGCTGGGGGGGAAAAGGGGGGAGGGGGAAGATGGGAGAAGAGAGATATATATTGGTTGGGTAATTAATCACACACACACACTGACCGAGGGCTCTGGCAAGTCTGTCGTAGATGTCGGGAGCTCGCGACAGCTGCTTCAGTGTCTCTATCCTCTCCTCACTGAACGTCCTTCGCGGCCTACACAGCAAAAATCAGCCTTTCTTTTCCCATCTCTCTCTTAAAGTCATTGCCTTCTGCCTTACCACCCTCCAAACGTACACTGCTCTAGTTACTATTTTCAACAGACGCAGTGACTCACCCATTTTCCTCCTCTTCTTCGTCTTCCCTCCCCCTCAGTCGCCGAGTGTCCGTCTTCCTGAAGTGAATGACGTCGACGTACGTCCGGTACACTGCCTTCACCGCTCGCTGGCGACGAGTCACTCGCAGGGGTGTGGCCCTATAGATCCCAGTCACTGCAACTCTGGAGTGTGTGTGTGTGTGTGTGTGTGTTTGTGTGTGTGTGTGTGTGTGTGTGTGTGTGTGTGTGTGTGTTTGTTCGTGTGTGGTGTGTGTTGTGTGTGTGTGTCGCTGTGGGCTGGTGTGGTGTGTTTTGTGTTGATTGTCGCTGTGGTGTGTGTGTGTGTCTGTGTGCGTGTGTGTCGTGTGTGTGTGTGTGTGTGTAGGTGATGTGTGTGTGTGTGTGTGTGTGTTGTGTGTCGTGTGTGTGGTTGCTCCGTTCTCCGTGTCTCTTGTTCCTCTTCGCCAACGCCGTCTCTAATGGTAGTGTTCCGTTGTCTGGTCCTGCTGGTCTTGTTTCTGGAGCAGGTGAGGATTTTGTAGAGCATTTGTAATATATACCTGTCGCCAGGTTGTACAGCATCCACTAGGTCGTGGTGGGCCAAGAGTGCCACATTATGGGGAGTCTGACCTGGAGGCATGTCATCTGACAAAGAGAGAGAGAGAGAGTGTGGGGACAAGGAAAGAGATGTTGGAGCTAATTGCAGCAGTTTAACAAATTGTCTTGGGAATGTCAAAGATCTCGAATTTCATGCCTAATCAAGCTGCAAACCATAACAGACTGCTCATGGACCTATCATGCGCATTATCAATGGGATTGTGTACAAAAGAGGCTATATCAGTGTGTACCTGGGCTCTCCTGCAGTTTGATCATCTGTTTGTCGGTGAAGAGGCTGCGGTTGTGGACGAGAGCCATGGAGTGGAGGGTCTGACAGTTGGGGCAGACTGATGGCTCGGCAATTCCTGCGCGATCTATCTCCACCGACTTGGTCTCCTTACACACATAGCATCTGAAGAAGGCTGGCAGAAAAATACCCAGTTGGGAATAGTTTGAAACATGAGTAGACATTGAAAGAGGTAGTACTAATGTATTAGTATGTGGCCTTATAAGTGAGGTGTCCTCTTTTGGAGGTTCAACAGTATTCATGACTGACCTTCTCTCATCTCGGGGATGAGTGGAGAGGTCCTGATGACCATGCCAGCTATGGTGATGAGCTGGTCGATGTCCTCTGGGTTCAGGGACCGCATGTTCCTCGTCTTCTCCACGTTGTACGTCCTCACCTGTGGGGGTGTGGTCAGTGGGCGGGCTTAGTGTCTTTGAGTTTAAACGGTGGGAAACTTTAACTACATTTACTTAGTTAAATTGATGGAGAGAAAGCATTTAAGTTTGCCGTTGAAAGACGACACACAGAGAGAGGGAGAAACCTGGATCTGGTGAGCCAGAACAGTCTCGGGATAGAGCTTCTCAAACAACTCGTTGGTGGCAAGGTCAAAGGTCGGTATGACCTCCTGTGGGTAGCGGACCAGCTGGGAGTAGAGGTCAGAGTTCGCCTGATGCAGGTGCTCGCAGTTGACCGTCAAGAATGGCTCCTCCAGCATGTTGATCTGTTGGTGAGAGATCCCGTGGTTGCCACGGTGTCTCCATGGCAATGAGTCTCACCTCGTCCAGTCGCTGCATGTAGTACGGCTCCAACCTGTCCCCGGCAACGGGGGAATACCCTTCGTCGCTAGGGAGATCGTCGATAAAAGTCTCTAGAAACTTTCGAAACTTTCGCCTCGTCTCCTGAATGTTAACATCGGTGCCCCAGATAACGAGGTGGGCCTCAGGGGCTGCCTCGCTTGTTCCCCCAGCAACAGACGAGGGGTCTCCCGTCTAAATGATAACAACAGTACCATATTACAAATGTGGTTGATTAATTAATTAACCCTTGTCTACTAGTGGCTTACGGGAGGGTCAGTTGGATTGAGGTTGACCTCTCTGACCCGGCGAGAGTGGCCAATGTCACCCCGGGGTCTGATTGGGGTACCTCGACTGCCACCCGGGGTTCCCATTATCCGAGACGAGGGGGTCCCGAAATTGAGCGGGGAACTGAGGTCAATTTCGGAGGTCGGAACGTGAGTGGGGGGAGAGGAGAAGAGCGGGAGCCCCGGGGAGCTCCCCATGCGAGGCCGGGAGCTGGGTGGGGGAGAGATGATGTCATCAGCAATGGCGGGTTGAGGAGGGGAGGTGACGTCAGAGGTTTGGAGGACCTCAGGTCCGCCAGCTGCAATCAATGGAGAGATTCAGAAAGACGAACATGGCTGGCTGGAGATTCTGTCTGTTGTTACTCACGGGAAGTGGTTCTCATCCGTTTTCTAGACGAATCCTCCATGATTTCTAGACAGTCGAGTCTACTAAAAACGGCCCCACGTACACGTACACACACGCGCCAGTATTACCCGCCAAGAGATTTCATTGGTCGTCTGCAACTTATGACGTTGACCACGCCCACTATAAAATTACACGCCGAGTAGAATAATTTTGACGGCAAAACGCTTTTTGCTGCACACTCATTAGGAGAGATGGCGAGACAGCAGGAGGAGAGAGTGCCGCTGCTGAGCGACGAGGAGCTCCCAGAAGACGACCTAGGAGGCATTCAGGTCTCCATATCACGTGCGAGAGATGGACGGCGGGCGCCCCACGGCACCTCGTTTCCATCTACCTCTGCTGAGCTGACTAGTGGTGGGTCAGGTCTCTCGGGTGGGGAGGAGAGAGAGGAGGGACAGACGGTGGGGCGGAGGAGAAAGCACTACTCTGGAAATGAGATGATAGTGTCTGTCTTTGTGGTCCAGTTCAACATCAGGAAAGGTGAGCAAGTCTCTCTCCACCCTCTCTCCCTCTCTCTCTTAGATCCATCCATCCATGCATGTATAGCTGCCATCACAGTGTGTTGTACGTGTGCCTTTCATCTCTTCACAAGTCAGCCTAGTTCATCGTGACACGGCGCTAAGTGTGAGACCTTCCTCCAAAAGAGCAGAGAAAAGCAATGTTCCCAACGAATGAAAGCAACATCTTGTACACCATACACACCTAGACACACGTTTGCATGTACCCCGCTACATGACTCACAGAACTAACGACTCACTCCATAAGCACAGAGCCCTACGTACCCTTCTCCCATTGTGAGACTGTACTAAACAGATGAACAACCTGTAGGCCTCCCTCCCCTGCAGGCAACGAGGTGGAATGGAGACACCCAGAGGAGGTCAACCTGGAGGGAATAGAGTTCAAATGCATCGCCAGCGGATCTCACAACATTCCAAAGGATTTCATGTAAACATCAACCGTAACCATCACGCTTGTTTTTGTTGTAGTTTTTGAGAGTTGGTAGAATGTGCTTCGGCAGTGTGTCTACGAAACCTAATGTGGCTGTGTTGCCATTTGCTACCTTCGTGCAGAATGTGGCTGTGTTGCTTGCTGGCCATTTGCTACCTTCGTGCAGAAACCTTAGTATGGAGCTAGTATATCTCAGATTTCAGCATGTAAGATGTGATGTAATGTCTTATTCTGTTTGGCTGCTGCAGCTACTTCAAGCAGGGGCAGCTGTTTGGTCTGAGCTGTTTCGAGAAGATCAAAGTCCAGAGTGAGGAGGAGAGGGGAGTGAGGATGAAGAGCGTGGGTCTCCTGGCCGTGGGCTATCAGGATCTCCATCTCCACCAACAGTTCTTGGAGCGACAGGCCAGGTCTGACTGTAGCTCAGGGCTCTCCTGTGGAAACCCTGGGTCTCCATGGTAGCAGGGATTCCTATACTGTTAGCTGAAATATTGTTCCCAATAGTTGTTCGATTTGGCTAAAAAAAACCACAAGAAGTGGCCGTTAGCTACGATAGGTATGACAGTTGTTGCACATGCACAGTACGTATACAGACTATTGTGCCTGTAATTGAAACCTGCCACATCGGTGGTTTATGAAGACGTGGGTTGAAATTGTCCAAGACATACAAGTTTATGAGCTTATGTCAAATGGCAAATTTGTCACATGACAGAAATTTTGTTCCCAATCCCCATTTGACAAATCTCTCATCTTGCTGTCTCCACAGGGGTCATGTGGAGACTCCAGGACACTATGGCTCCCTGGAAGAGTATTTCACCCACTACCGGTCCCCACGCCATTCCAGCAACTCAGTCCCCAGACCACTCCTCAACGGAGACCAGGAGAACAGCTTGAACCAATCTTCAACCTCTGAGGTAACAACACCCCCCCCCTCATATCTCTATACCATAACAAGATTTCTTTCCAGTTTTTCATGGGCTGGTATTTTTCATGATACATATATATTCTGAGTTCGACAAATTTCATAATCACAAGTATAATACAGAAAAGCCGACTACTGTCACTATTACATCTCTCTTCAGGTGGTTCATCCTGTGGGGGCCATTCCCAAGTACCTGGAGTACTTCGGTCCCCACATCTTTGTTCTCTGGAAACTGGCTCTGCTGAAGAAGAGAATCCTAATCTTTTCTCCTCCTCCGATTGGAGTCGTCTGCTACAGAGGTGTGCCTCACTGTTGCTGGCGAGCCTAACTCGATGTTCTAGAGTAATTCAACGGTTGCACTCTATGACTTAAACTTGTGTTGGCTTAGTCACCAACATGGGTTGTATTAGTTCAAGGAAGGAATGTGCAGTGATTAGCCAAACCTTGTTCATGTGATGTAGCCCAGTAGAATATCATCAGAATAATCGTCGTCTCCCAACCCGCAGTGTACTGCACGTGTCTGCTGACAGACCACAGTCTGGGAGGTGACCTGGACCTGGACTGCAACCCCATGTTCTACGTCAACGTCAACGACATTGACTCTCTGCGGAGTACCAGGCACTACGTGGCTTGTGAGCTCACTTTTAGTTTCACTCTCATCATCTTACATATATACGTACTGAGCAACTTACAATCCTCTGATTTGCTGCTTGGCACTCTTTCTTGAATGCACCTCACTTCAATTTGTATACTCTCACTTGCTCTTTTCTCTTCCTCTCTCGTCTCTCTTTCTCCATTACCACAATAATTCTCATTTCCCCCTTCTCTCCTTGTATATATATATCCTTCCCTCCTCCCCACTGCAGGCACATCAGAGCAAATTCTGCAGTCAAAAACAGAGTTGTATGACGTATTTGTAGATCAGCAACGACTAGTGACCCACCTCGCCTCCCTGGACCACCTCCTACGTATCACTCCTGCCGACAAGGAGAGATACGACCTCCTCAACAGTATCAGGTGACTGTCACGTGACCTGGTAGTGAGATCACTTGATCATCAGGGGTGTGTGTGTCTATTATCCAGGTCCAACGACCTCATAACATCTGGAGGCAGAGGGAATGTTCGGAACGATGACTTTGGATTTGTAGCGTAAGAATCAGAAAGAGGAATGAGAGAGAAGAGAGAGGGTGCATTAATGTGTATTCATTTGTAGTTCCACGTGTAATGTTGTTGTGTTAAGGCATGACTTAGTGTTGTGAGCATTATGATGTTCTTGTACCCATTACTATGGTTCTAGTAACGACTCCTGAACAGAAAGAGAGACAAACTGTGTGTGAGTGGAGAATAAAGTGTGTGTTTGTGTCTGCAGGTTCTTCAGAGAGCTAAACAGCCAACTCCTGCGGACGATGCTGGATGCTCAGGAGAGAGAGGATCACCTCCTGACTGTGGAGATGGTGGAGAGTGTCGGACTGGACCCCACCAGAGACAGACAGTTCCTCACTGAGCTGGCCTCTCTTCTCAGTCTGAACCTCAACGTCCAGAGACCCACGGACATGATGGACATCTTCTCTTGCTGTTGCTGATTCTCTCTCTTCCTCTCTCGTCTCCTATCTCTCGTTGTTTGTCAACAGTCATCTTTGTATCATAATGCTCAGTGTCTGGATTAATTTATGAAATGGCGCACATGAAACAAGTTTTTTGTGCATCAATTTCTGTGAAGAAACACCATGATTTCATCATTTTGCAAACCCAATAGTAGCTTTGGTATTACCATACACAGTGGGGACAAGAGTGGTAAAATGACAGCAGAGTTTTAGATGTGGTGAGATTTCACGTGCCCTGAGAGTGTGTGAGGGAGTGGAGTGAGAGAGAGAGGGGGCGTGGCAGATGAGGAGGTGTGATGATGTTAGGATGACACAATGTCCTGGACGCCAGTGAATGCTGCTGACCCCAGTCCGTTCCGTGACATGTGTTTGAGACACTGGACTGCCTGTCCGAGGGCAAACTCTAGCGGTGGCTGGCCCTGGTAGGTTCTTTGACTCTGGACGAGAGAGAGGAAACGATAAACTACTCATGATGCGAACACACTCAGACACAATAAGCTCAGAATTACTCCAGGTTTTCATTTATGCAGTTCAACTATATACCAGTAAAGGAGGCTATATATCTCTCAAGTTCCTTCCATTACGAGACTCATAAGTGCTGTTTAGCACTTATGAGGATGGAAGGCACTATGTCATGTCTTTGCTGCTATTCATTACTCATCCTTTGTGCATCCTTAAAAACTCCATATTTGGCGAGAGTGTAATGAACAAGGATAAAGATTTCCAGTGATAAGAGAGAGAGACAGACCTAGTATGGCGGAGTTGAGGGCTGCGCAGACTGGCTCTCTCTGCATGGGGTCCAGGAGGTAGCCGACAGGACTGGAGCGAGGCTCCATGTAGGCCAACAGACTAAACGAATCCTGAAAAACAACACACAGCAACACACAACATGAAACAGAAACTGTCAATGTATACACATGGCGAGTCCAATACCTTCATTGAACGAAGCCACTACACAAAGGAGCTTTTTGCACATGAAAATAACAACTAAATGTACAGTGAAAACCTCTGAAAAAGCACCTTCCAAATAAAGACACCTCTCTAAGGACACTTGATTCCGCCCCATAGTGATATACTTAAATAAGGAACAATACTGAATAAAGGACACTTTCGAAGTGTCCATTGTTCAGAGGCTCCACCATAGTAAGTAAGGTGGATATACAGGTTTTCTTTAACCTGAAGGAGTGTCTTGAGATGGTCGTTGGAGTGACCTGAGGAGACGCGAGTGTGGAGAGTCTGCAAGTCTCTACCGAACGCCAGGATCTTCTCAATGGCCACTGGATTCCTCTCCACATCTATCACCTCTTCTTCCTCCTCGATCATCCTCTCCTTCTCCTCCTCCCCCTCATCGCCGTCTACCTCCATATCGGCCTCCTCTCCGTTGGTCATTACCTCTCCATTACTGTAGGGGCTCTCCCCTCCTCCCCCTCCCCTCCCTTCCTCCTCTCCCACCTCCCCACTGGACACACTCAGCTCAGAATGACATGATAAACGAGGCTCCTGTGACAGAGAAAAAATCGGAGGTGATTTGGCCACTTCGACACAATACCTGCCAAAGTGCACTTTGTTTTTCCAGCCAAATTTTCAGCAAAACTAGAGCAACGTAACCTGTTGGGTAACCTATATAGCCCACTGGAGCACCTTACCACATTCAGAGTCTGGAGTAACATACCCCAATGGAGTAACATACCCTGCTGGAGGAAGCAGTGGTGGGGGAGGGAGGAGCATCGGCTCTGTCACAGCCAGCAATCATCTCCACAAACTGTCGACACTTCAGTCTGAACAGTAGCTCCTCGTTGGTCTCCAGTAGACCAGGATATGACGCCTGGACCACACCCACTGCCTCGCTCACTCTCCCTGCCATCACCAACTTCTGGATCCCTGGGCGAACAAGGGGGGAGAGGAAGAAATAAGTACCACTAAAGTTCTATTGTGGATATAGAGTGAAAATTAAGGTAAGAAAACGAGATGTTTCACACATGCCTCTTAAATCAGTTTTTTCTTCCTCAAATATTTTCCCACTAAACATTAAGTGTCTAAGATTTTCTCCTTTTGTTCTTTAACCACCATACATTAGGACGTCTCTGTGGTAACTGACTCTGTCTGTTTCTGATGCTAGTCATGTCTTCCTCCAGTCGTTGTCCGGTACTGCTGGCAAACACCTGCGCCGTGCGGCAGTAGCCGTGGTGAACAAGGTAGCTCAGCACCAGTTTGTTCAGCCTAGTCTGCCACGATCCTATTCCGTCTGAGACCGGAGTGGCTTCAATGGACTGTCGTATCTGCTGCTGAACATCCTGTGGAATGGGGGAATGGGAACGTGAAACAATGGAAACGGGAAGAGGGAATGGAATCGGGACACGTACACTGAGAAGACCCTCAAAGTCGAAGACGAAAGGACTTTCTCCGAAGTTTGCCTCAACTATTTCTCCCGGTGTCTGGAGGCCTACTGTCGGGTAGAGATGGAGAGAGCTCTGGGGGGACAGAGAGAGAGAGAGAGAGGGCTGGACAAGAGATGGAGAAGTCAGGCAAGAGAGAGATTGAAGAGGGGAGATAAGAGAGAAGAGTTGTAGAGGGCAACTCACAGGAACTTCAGATACAGCTGTCCCTAAATGTGTGGGGAGAGAACACTTTATGCACAGATCACATGCAGGTCACATGATGTAGAGCTCTCACCAATGTTGATGCCATTCTTGGTGTAGAATATGGATCTCTCAACGAGATTGAAGCCACACCCCACAGTGTCGCCTGTGGTAAACGTTGGACCGTACGCCTGCCCCGTACCCGACGAACTGAATACACACCCATCGTCGGCATGGTAACCATACGATTGCTTCTCCCAGCCTGTGTGTCATGTGAGAGGGGTAATTAATTTGCATTCCTTCAATTTCTACCCAATGCCAGAGCAGAGCAGCCACTAATTACACCCTCCCACAGACGCCCACTAAGGGAACTAATTGACACAGAATACATCATAGTCCTCAGCAATAGTGGTTTCCTGAACAAAGTGGCGACACACTCTCTGGAGGGGTTAGAGTAGCTGCCTGGCCCACACAGTAACATTGACATTGCTGTAACTCTCCTCTTATAACTATATTATACATAAGACACACGAGTTTTACACAGGAGTGGAAGGGGAAGGTGGGGAGTGTGTGTTTGAGTGTGTGAGAGAGAAGGAAGAAGCTGACCTGGTAACCGGTTTAGGTTCACGCCAGATGTTGACAGTCCAATACCCATGTACCTGAGAAAGAAACAAGACATACTAACACAGACACGCCAACAGATTATTCCATTAACAGAAGACAACTCATTACAACCCCTCACTTCCAAAAAAGTACAATGAAGACAACAACATACACACCCATCACACAGTCCTTATAGCTATCCATGTGCTTGCCAAATAGTAACACCTCTATCAATGATAGAGAATTTCTTAGTTCATGGATGGTTTTGATTTTGTTTTCATTGATGGCTCTCAAACCATGAAATTCGCTAAAAGCGTTCTCCCTCGAAATTTTCCCTCCACGAGCTGTCTGTCTTACCCGTCTCTTCCTTTGCTGATGACCTTGATCTCGAAGTAGTAGACCCGCAGGCAGCTGGGATGGGATGAGCCGTTCTCACCGACGCCGCGTCTTTGTGGTTCTTCCCGCTCCCTGCAGCGGTCAGCCAATCACCTCGTCATCTCGTCATCACTGTGACGGGCCTTACCTTTGTAGTGGACTCTCAAGTTGCTCTGGGAGAGACCGATGTACGTGTACTTGTCTTTGGCGCTCCAGGAGCGAGGCAGAGGCGTCTCTCGCTCGGGTACCTTTGGGTAGAGACGCACCAGTTTCTCTACTTTCGGCTTGGGAGCTGACGTGTCCACAGCCATAGCTCTGTCAGAACTAAAGATCGAAGATTTACACGCGTCTAGTCTTCTCTCCACACCACAACTCTCGTAAAGAAATTTCTAATTTTTTTTGTTTTGTCGCGCGTATAAATAGATCAGAATGCGGAATGGAGAATGGAATACAGACCGGAAAGGTGGGCGGTGTCGAGCTGACGACCACGCCTACAAATATCGATGACTCAGCAAAGCTCTGTTTCAGTTCTCAGAAAAGAGAAATGGAGAGAGAAGCGATGAGGGACGTTAATGGGTTTCTACGCAAGGAGAGGTGGCGCGGGGCTCCTCAGAGCTTGTGTACTTCGCCCCCAGTGCCGTGTCTCGTCCACGGAGGCCGGACAAGAACCTCAGGCGACAAGCTCGGGCCTACTTCTCGAGCGACGAGCCTCGTCGAGTTGGTCCGGGGACCGCTCACCCGTCACCAAGGAACTGAGCAGTCCTGGTTTCCTCCGGAGAGCTCTTCCCGACTCACTAGCCAACGGGGAGACCCAACAAGTTCCTAGGTTCTTTATCGACACGCAGGCAATGGTCAGAACGCTTGAAGACGGAGGTAAGTGTCTAACCATCTACCTGGATCCTAACTAACGCTCCGTTGCTTTCAGGTTACAGTCGTGAACAGGCCGAGAGCGTCGTTTCATTGATATCCACGTCTCTTACCGCCACTCTAGAGCCAGTCATATCCGCCCAGGTCACCAGACGAGACGTGGTAAGTCCCTGCCGTTGTATCGTTGGTGTGTGTGTGTGAGAATCATCTCTGGACTCATGATACCTGGTCTGTAAATTACTAGCTGTAGTAGAGTCAGTGCCGAAGTGTGTAGCTAGGGCGGATGTGTGAATTCTGATAGGTTTTCCCCCTTCCTCTCCTGTCTCTCCTCCCTGGTTTAGGAGCTGTTGGCAGTCCAGTTTGCAGGGGAAGTCGAGTCAGTTCGCAGCAGTCTCGTCCTCCTTGAGAGAAGCACCATTGATTCCCTCCGTCTCGAAAACGAGGTCTCTTCAAATTTCCCCCCTTTCTCTAAATTCACTTTGACTCTGACATTAATATACAGGGACTGAGGGGACAGATCAGGAGGCTCTACGAAAATCAGAAGGTATGTGCTCCATGTCAGTGTGGCCCCACCCACCCACTCATCACCGTGGCGACTGCAGGAGGAGATGAAGAAGTTGGAGAGTGGGATACAGCTGGATATTAACCTTGAGAAAGGTCGGCTGAGAGAGGAATCAACCAACCTCTCCCAGAGGATCAAAGACACTCACAACAGAATTGAGACTGAGGTCCAGCAATACCTCCTTCCTTCCCTCTTCCTCCTTCTTTAGTGTGTGTGTGTGTGTGCCAATGTGTGATGTATGTTGACTGAGCAGCAGTAAAGATAAGTGGGTGTGTCTTGTTCAGGTGGCACAGTTGAAGACACAGATCGAGTCACAGAAACTAGAGTCAATCAAGTACCTCGTAGGTAAGACCCCGTTCATAAACTAGTTTATCCAGTTATTCAGGTTTCCTCTCCCCGCTGCTTGCAGGAGGGATCTTCTCAGTGGTCACCATAGTTCTCTCCGTCATGCTCGGCCTCTCCAGACTTCTCAAGTAGAACTCTGTTGTAGCTTTTTATCTCATGGACGCTATTTATTCTCTGAATTCACTGATTTTTTTGTTGGTTCTACAAATATTGTACAATTCGAAAATTACAGCAGACATAATTTTGAACAACCAACACACAATTACAAGTATGCGTAACTGAATGTGGGCGGAGTCACCCTGTCTAATTGGGGGGCGTGGTCAGTGTTTCATTGCGAGATATGTGGCAGCTGCCTTGCGGGGTTTCTTCTGAAAGTCCATTCCGTGTGGGTAGGGGTGAGCCACCTTCAGGAGGTGCAGAGCAGCAGCTGTGTTGCCTGCAGAGAGAGAGAAACAAAACTTAGCAGCAGAAATGGCGAGAATTTTTTCGAGTTCCCACTCCTACAAAAATTTCCCTGCCCACAAAATTTCACAGGAAACTTTCTCTGGTGGCTCAAAATTTGCACTGTCCAGCACAAATTTACAGGAGGAAACCGAAGTTTTGACCGTCATAAGTTTCTCACTACGTGATGTGGACTGACCACTCATGAGTTCAATGTATGCAGAGAGAAGAACAGTCTGTGGAGGAGGAGGATTGGGGAGCAGCTTGACAGCCTGTGGAGGGAGACAGGCAGAGCAGAGGGCTAAGCAATCGAGATAACTATTACCAATACCTCAAGGGTATATAGAAGGGGTAGGTAGTACAATATGTAGGTGTTAACAAGTAAAAGAAAGAAAGTGGTATATTATTATACTGCTAGTTGCTGAGCCGAGGGCAAGGGTCACTCACCTCCTGCAGGGCCTTGCGTGCCTTGTCGTTGTCTCTAGTGATGCAGAAGACGGCTGCGGTGTTGAATAGCATGACGGCCCTGGCCTGACTCAGACTCTCAGGGAACTGGTGGACCTGGGGACCTGGGAATGGGGGAATGGAATACCGAGGTATGCATGAATTGGGGAATGGAAACTGCGGTAGGCAATAATTGGTGGGAATGGGAGAATGTAATACCAGCATTGGGAGGGTGAGTGGATAGCTGTGCGGCTGTCTCTGAATCTGAGTCCTTCAGAACTATGGAATGAACAGAAGTTACTTCAATGTGGCACTGTGCAGTAGAGAGATACAGGTGAAGGGTTGACCTGGTTTAGGAGAGGAGACACTGATGTTTACGACACTCTCCGGAGTGAGGTGGGTCATGGCCTCAGACACTCTGCCCAGTAACACCAACGCCTCTGCTGAGTACACCTACAACATAGCATATCCAAATAGAGAGAGACACCAGAGGAGTGTGAGTGTGTGTGTGTGTGAGAGAGAGAGAGAGAGACTTACTTGTCCAAGGAAACGCAGGCCGCCAGAGAGAAGGGGTGTGGCTAAGAGTTCTCGCGACGAAGCCAGACTGGTGACTGGGTCTCCAAGACCTAGAGACACATAGGCTTGGCATGCCAGAACGTAACACCTGCAGGGAGATAGAGGTAAAGAAGGATAGCACGATTCACCAAGTGTCAACACAGAAGCGTATATATAATATGAACACTGAAAACAGGACAACATTGAAAACACGATTCCCTGGAAAGTGAAAGTGGTAGAAGAAATGAGGATGGCAAAAATTGTTGGTGACCCTCTGACCTGAGAGAACTGACGCTGTGACCCTGAATGGGGGGTCCAGGGGGGGCGGGGACTGGAGGGGTCGAAGTCGGGGGGTCGTCTGACACGACTGGGGGTGTGTTGGGGAGAAGGAACTTGGCGTTGGAGAGACATATGGCAGCAAACTCGAGGGTTGGAGCTGGCATTGCAGCTGACTGGGAGTGGGCCTCGGCACTGAATGAGAGATAGTGAAATAAGAGACACCTTGAGGGAAGGGAGGGGGTGTGGTTTACTCTTGCAGGGAGCTGCAGACTGAGTTGGGCATGGGGGCCACGACCAGCTTCCTGTGAAGACCCTTCCCAAACACTTCGTTGACTAGCGTGTTCTTGTATCGCTTCTTCTGAGATCTCTCCTCTTCCATCTGCAGCAGACAGGGAAATGGACAAAAATTGAACATTTCTACAACTTTCGTGAATCTGAGAAACTATCCAACTGTAGTGTAACAATACGAGCCACTCTGAAATCTGAGGCACTATACGTAGTGTGTGTGACCTGAGCCTGTGCAGCGATGCAGGCCTCGGCCAGTCTCAGCCACAGGCGAGGGTTCGTGTGGTAGACCTGCACGACCTCCAGCAGGGAGTCAAACGCTGCGGTGGGGTGACCGGCGTACAGCTGCTGGAGTCCGAGGTTGTAGAGAATGACGTGGCGACAGTTGACTCCCAGGACCCCCAGTGGCCTCCCTGATAGGGGTGTGGCTGCCGCAGAGATGAGGGGGAGAGAAAGCGATAAACCAATCACCTTTATAGTAAAGGTGACAATATCCTGTGATCTGAGCAAGCAAGCAAAATATTTTTCTTTTCGAGGAGGTGTAGCTGCTGTCATTGAGTATGCATGAAAAAAGTTTTAATCACAAACAAGCTAAACATGGCATGCTCATAGCAATAGTAATGGGACCTGGCGGTGTAAGAAAGGTACTCACCCTTGTCGAGAGGAGGGAAGCCGTTGAGTGCAGCGTCGTTCTCCTCCAGCAGGCTGCGGATTCATGTAGTGCGAGGCGGCACAGCACACGTGTACGTTGTAGCTCTAGATGGAGTGCTAACCGTGAAGTTCGACTCGGCTCTGAATTAGTTCATCGAGCTGAGCTTACTTTC